GAAAATTACTGCGACAACAATAACACCCAAAAAATTTGATATGAAAAAAGCCTGAGAGTTTCATAAAATTCCATTCTGCTCCGTGGCCCAAAGATACTCATTTCTGTGTGATGCAGTTTTTAACGCTTCAAAACTATACACTGCACTGATGCAAGCCGGGTTCGAGTCCTGCTGGGGGTGCTGATGGGACCGAGGCTAGTTCAAAACTGCAGTCCAGTCCAGGTTGGATGAGAATACCCTTTGAGAAGCGAGGCTATGTGAAATTCAATTAAAACTTGAAGCCTATTCATATAACTTTTGGAAAATTTAACTAAAAGTCTGTCATCATGTTGAATATTGTTCTTATATCAGATCTATTGATAGTCTCAAATGCCTACTCCCAAACTGAAACTAAGACCTGCCGGTGATTTTAAGCTTTACTGAATCTCTCAATGACGGCATTGCGAAATAGAAGAAGAAAAAAACATTTTGCCCTATAGACACTTGCTCTTTCCAGAGTGGATGCATGATCTCATGCCACCGAAATTCTAGCATCAAGTCACAACTTCTATTCTCCTGTGCTTAACCATTCAATGAGAAAAAAAAGTGTTATTTCTAAAGAGACGCTGAAAATGGGGACTTGATAGGACATTTCTTAATTGCAAACTGAAGAAAAAGCAGTGATTTACGTTTGTCCACAAACCTCACGAATCCTGTCGAAAAGATTTCGAATCAAGGAAGAGCTGGTCCGCCTGAGAGGTACGGAGAGGTCACTGGTGAAGGAGAGCAGATCACGCAGTGCCTCTCGTGAACTGATATGCTCAATAAACTCGGCTTGGTAGACTGGCACGGTAAGGCAACTACGATGGTCGACTTCTCCGTGAGCAGTCACCGCCATGACGGTTGGCGGCGACGGAACTAACCCTCCCGTCGGCATTTCTCCGGCAGACAGTGGCTTCCTTGAGTCTCGAAAGGTATGGTTGTGCCCAGGCGCAAGACCCATTTGGATCTGCTTTGAGATGCAATTGGTGGGCTGGCCGGTGGTCGGCTGAACTATTGAATGTTGAGACCGTTGCTGGCCTGGGCAATTTGCCGGATAATGATGGTGAGACCGGCTGCGGTTGTGGTCCGGCGAGTGGTGCTGGTGGTTGTAATGGTTACGAGGGTGAGGGTGGGCAAGTGGGTGATGGTTGAGCTGCTGTGCGATCATTTCTGGAGCAGCTTCTAGGCGAGAAACCAAATAAAAATGCAGCACAGCGTTCAGAAATAACCAACCAGCGATAGATGGTGATACGCAAAATTTAATTCCTGGACGCAGCACAAGGTTACATGTGATCTCACCAACGAAAACTTCACAAACAAAGGGGGTAAGTAGTGTTTGATCATCAGCTGCATGCACCAACAACCATGAAAAATGGTACGAGGCGGATGTCGACGAGGTGCAGTCTAAGTTCAACTACTTTCCATTTTATGATTCGTCTAACCAATGGAAATTTGGGGTGTGGACAAGCTCCCTAGCTTTTAAGCGTAGATACCAAAACCAAGATGCAGTGGCCTCTATTTTTGTTGTTGTCCCCTTTTAATGTGTAGTAGTTGTTTGACCTTGTTTTCACAACTTGGTCATGTTGGCAGGAAGACTTAGAGGAAAGCACCTTGTCCGGAGTCCGTGGTACGGTCCAGAGTTGGACCGTGAACTTGGTACGTTCCTATGAGTTTCGCCAGCACCGTCAGTCAGTCTTGACATTCTCAGCACCAAGTTACAACTCGTCAAAGAGACAAGTGAAGTCAATACCATGACCAACTTTCTGTCAAAATGATGGTGCTATCACTTCTCATTATTTCCTGATTTCTCTATCCATTTCGCACCCTCTTGTCTCGCCCTCATCCTATCACAATTTCTGACATGTTTGTATTCCACAAAAGATGCAGCAGGCGACCAGAGAAATGTCCACATTTTGCCCAGGGTACAGAGGTTTATTCTGGGGGATAATGCGCGAAATTAATGCACAATACCCGAAAACATGGGAATCAGAAGGTATGAAGACCAAGATAGTATGGCCTTTTGTGTGGTCGCAGTTTCCTTTCGTTGTATAGAAGTAGTATGACCTTGTTTTCGCAAATTCGTCATATCGGTAAGAAAACTTAAGGGAACATACCTAGTCCGGAGTCCATTGTATGCATGATCATTTCCAAAGTCGGACGGTGGACGTGATACATTCCCAGACTTTTCGCCTCGTCAGAAAGTCTTGCCATTCTTTGCAGAACACTAGAAATCGTCAAAGAAACAAGTAAAGCCGATTCTTTGACCAATTGTCTGCTACTCAATCGTGGTATCTCTCCTTCCGCCCTGGGCTAATTACTAATTCTATATCCTCGTATCATGCCTTCACTTTCAGAATTTTTTCTTACTTATTTAAATGTAGTATGGTGTGCCCTTTTTAGCGGCCTTCATGAGAAATCTCCATACTACACGCTGGCTTTCTCACCCCCCTTCTCCCTCGTGCTGGGAATGCAAGCATGTAGTGTGGAGGGTTCTCATGAAAGCCGCTCAAAAAGGAACATCATACTACATTTAAATAAGAAAGAAAAAAATTGTGGTGGTGAAGGTGTGATACGAGGATATGGGAGAGGTGGATAGCCCAGGAGAGAAAGAGAGATACCCCAACTGTTTAGCACAAATTTGGTCAAAGGATCAACTTCACTTGTCTCTCTGACGAGGTGTGGTGCAAAGAGTGACAAGACTCATTGACAATGCCGGCGAAACGTCTAGAAATGTACCAAGTCTACGGTAAGACTGTGGAAATGATCATGCATACTATGAACTCCGGAGAAGGCGCGTTCCACTAAGTCATCCTACCAATATGACCAAGTAGCGAAAACAAGCTCAAACTACTTGTATGGGAATCAGAAGGCTTGAGAGATAGCACTTGGAGTAAAACTACGCTGGGGCTGGAACCGAGTGAAATCAGTTAGCCAGAACGACAATAAATGGACCTAATGAGCCATGAGACAGATCCGGACAGTAGAATAGCGCAGGATCAGTCATTCGAAAGGGAGGGAGGAAGGCAAACAGCAGGTGTGATGACGCCACGGTAAATTCGCCAAAAGGGCAC